TGTCTGGTGGACTTAACCACAGTCCAATCACCTGAGTTATAAACCTGTCATTTCAAATAACCTGGCCCTATGCCATGGCGGGCTGCACCTTGAAACATGGATTAACCAGATCCATAGCCTGCAGGGCTTTATACAATATCATCTCCTTCACTATCAGCATAACAAGAACTAACAATCTGATCATTATTTTACACACTAGAGCCTTGTCAAAAAAAATTTTTAAACCTCAACATGGTTCTACTTTTCTAAGACTTTGCAATCTTAACTCAGATTCCACCTATTCTGGGTGTCCTTGCTGAAATCTCTTGCAATCTCCTAAAATACTAAAAGGGGCAAGATTTTGGCAATCCCTCCCAGTTTCTGAGAGACTTATTTTCTAAAATAAATAAATAAATAAACCAAAATGTTTAAGTCTGCTTTTCTGTAGACATTTAGAGCTGCTATGGGTATGTTGCAATCTATTGGTGTTGCAGCGCACAAGTTGCTGTGGCACACAAACCACAGAAAGCTACTGTGGTTTTTCTGCAGGTGTTTTTCTGCTGGTTAGCCAGCTTGGAATCACAATGAAGGAAATTCCTTCATAATCAGATTTTTTTTTCTCTGTATCGTTGTATCATTAAGTCTAATAAATGACAAGGTGTGAGAAGACAAGAGAACACAGATCAAGGAAGCCTTTATGGGCAATCCACTAACACACATCATTTTAGAACAGTTGCGAGAAAAATAATTGCAGTTGACAATTTCAGCAAGTGGTATGTGGAAGAAAAAATGTATAGCCTTGACCTAAGGGGGAAAAAATTATGAACATGCCAGCGCTTCTTGCTGTAAGATGTGGGAGGATATTCACCATTTATTCCCCTTGTCTCCACCCTCTAAAAATAGGAAGGAATGTAATTAATTTTTCAGACCATCTTTCCTTAACATAGCAGAGTGTAACCGTCATGGATTAAAGCTCCCATCATCCCCAGTCAGCATGACCATTGTGGGTGTGTGGGTGTGTTACAACACTGCGCACTGTGGGAGAATACTAGATCAGGGAAATGCTGTTTCGGACTATATATCCTTCATAATAGTGCAATGTGATATAAAAGTTCAATGTGTCAAACAGTCCTCATCAGCCTGATGGTGTTTTGGAACATTATTTGCTTGCTGGCTTACAGTTTGAAATCGTTTTGATGAGTCTTTCTCAAACTTGGCAACTTCTGCTTTAACAAAGCAGAATTAGATTTGAGGAAACAAAACAACCACTTCACAAACGCATGGCACAACACAGGAGATCAAACCTACAACAACACGATTCAGTAGTCTGTCTGCATCTAAAAAACAAAGGTCACCATTTTTAAGACCGCAAAGTTCATATTCTGGACAGAGAGGACCACTGGTTTGAAAGAGGGGTCAAAGAGGCCATCTACCTTAAAATTGAGTAGCACTCTCTCAACAGTTTGGGAGGGACGCGGTGGCTCAGTGGCTAAGACGCTGAGCTTGTTGATCAGAAAGGTTGGCAGTTCGGCAGTTTGAATCCCTAGCACCACGTAATGGAGTGAGCTCCCGTTACTTGTCCCAGCTTCTGCCAACTTAGGAGTTCGAAAGCTTGTAAAAATGCAAGTAGAAAACATAATACAAATAAAATATCTTTTTTTGAGAATAGCATGGTCCTGGGTTATCACTTCTCCATACAGACACAAACTCAATTTCATATTTGTCTTTGTGTTATAACTTATTAACCCTTATCACCCATATCTTATTACTATTTTAACATTTTCTTAATATTTTTCCCTTCCTTTAGTTTTCTTGACCTTGCTTTTAATTATCTCATTCCTTGTTTTGTGAAAACCCAAATAAAATTTTTACCAAAAAAAATGCAAGTAGAAAAATAGGGACCACTCTGGTGGGAAGGTAACAGCATTCTATGCGCCTTAGGCGTTTAGTCATGCTGGCCACATGACCATGGAGACGTCTTCGAACAGCACTGGCTCTTTGGCTTAGAAACGGAGATGAGCAAACCCCCCCCAAAAAAACTGGAAATGACTAGCACATATGTGCGAGGGGAACCTTTACCTTTATCTCCCAACTACAATACAGTCCTTTCAGTAATCTCAAGAAGTTCCACACCCATTTGCAATCTGATTCAGGTGACCCTGAGGTTACAGATAAACCTCTTCAGTCACCATGACCAGATGACTGCAAAGAATATCAATCCTTCCATTCCCCACCATTCAGTCAGAACTGAAGAAGCTTCTTGGATGAGAAGTGAAGTGTTTTCAAGGAAAAACAACTGAGAAAGTCCAGTTGCCTTTTGAAAAGCACCTTTGGGACGACCATGATCTGGATGATTGAGAATCTCCATAAGCATTTCTTCTCCTTCCCCAAGTCCATTCACATATTCCATTATACCATCTGTGCCGTGACAAGAGTCAATTAACCCATCCAAACAATCCTCAAATTCAACCCTCTCTGGTGTGCAGGAAAAAGATGTTTGTAACCTATACAAGAATTCAGTTACAATGTAGAACAGCTATATGGGGTTCGTGTAACATATAATCAGAAAGTTTAGACTATGAAACTACATGCCTCTGTTTTTAAATAAGTGCAAGTAAACCCTTTTGTTGTAGTAGATTGTTCTTCTCTAAAACGTCAGAAATGTAGAAGCTTTTTCGAAGATATGGGACAAAGGAAGGAAGATGTGAATTGTGTGCCTCACAAGAGCTGGATGCACATAACATAGTAAACCTTAAATAAGGGTTAACAAACAAAGCCCTGAAGTTTATGTAACATGCTATAACAATAAATAAACAAGTAAACCACATACTATAATAAAACTGTATAATAACCAGAATCACTTGTTTGGTGAGATGGGCAACTATTTAAATAGGATGGATGGATGGGTGGGTGGGTGGGTGGATAGGTAGGTAGACAGACAGATAACATTCAGATTTATGACTGATGCAATGTTCTGGAGTCATGTTATCCCCATTTTCTGACCTTCTGACAAGCAAGGTCAATGGGGAAGCAAAATCCATTTAACAACCATGTTACTACTTTAACAACTGCAGTGATTCACTTAACAACTGCAACAAGTAAGGTCTTAATGGAGCAAAAGTCACTTCACAACTGTCTCACTTAGCAACAGAAATTTTGGGCTTAATTGTGGTTGTAAGTCGAGGACTGCCTGTAATATCTTCCCTCTTATATCAATCCTATTCTGGAGCATCTGTCACAGATGCAAAATCCATCAGGTTTTATCATCCACTAATAAATTATAATGTGAGCAATGACTGAAACCGAAGTGAATTCCATGATGATGGTAGCTTTCTGATAATCCAAGAATGGCTAGAGAACATCCTAATTAGTTGCATGGAAAGGACATAGCCCAGAACTTGCAAATAAACAGGCATTAAAATAAATATAAAAATAACTCCCTTCACACTACAGTTTACAGCAAATCTAAGACTGTGTTTATACAACATGCATATTTATTCATAGTTACCATGGCTTATCAAATTAACCTAATTTAAACAACCGCGTGGGCTGGGGCAAAATGTATTCAGTGCAGTGAGGTAGTATGTTGAGCAAGGGTGGTGAGCTTTGCTATATTTAGTTCGTAGGCTTGACACAACCTGCTAAGTCACAAACAAGAAAACTACATTGTGTCTTAGCATGTAAACACAGCCAGTGTGCAGCAGGAAAAAACAGGAAGGCAGTACACCCCCATTCTTAGTCTAGAAGCTTGACCTGATCACTCGATTATTCCCATTTTGCTTTGTTTTATGAATCTATAGACCGCTTCCATCAGGGTTGCTGCCAACCTTGAGTTGTTTATTTAAAAACAATAAAGGTGGAATGTAAATAAAGATAGATAGATAAGATAGATATAGATGATTGATAGATGATAAATATAAATAGATGATAGAGATAGATGATAGAGATAGATGATAGAGATAGATGATAGATAAGACGATATAGATAGATGATAGATAGAGATGATTGATAGAAATAGATAGATAGAGATAGATAGATAGATGATAGAGGGGTAGATAGAGATGATTGATAGATGATAAAGATAGATGATAGATAGAGATAGAGATAGATAGAGATCGATTGATGATAGAGAGATAGATAGAGATGATTGATAGAGATAGATGATATATTAGATGATGATGATAGATAGATAGATAGATAGATAGATAGATAGATAGATAGATAGATAGATAGATAGATAGATAAGAGAGAGGGAAGGAGAGGGAGAGAGAAAGAGAAAATGATGATCTGGGTTGCAAGGAGTAACAAAACCAAATTAAGAAATACACCACGGACTTCATCAAACGGGTCCTTTCGCACAACGTGAAAATCTCCCACGTGCAGGTCCGTAGAAATCTAACCAAGGTTAACTCACCTCACCCCTTTCCTAAGAGGTCTGTAGGGGGCGTGCATAAGCGCACCATCGTGCCTACCGTCCCTGTCCTATTGTTTCTCTTATTCTTTTATTTTTCTTATATGTACCCATTTCATGTATTCACAACTATGTATACACTTATACTTATTATCTTGTAAACAATTGGCAAATCAAATAAATAAAATAAATAAATAAACTGTAACCAAGGTGAACTCAGCCCCAAAGGGAAAGAGCCGTGATTTGTGGAGGGAAGGGAGGGGAGGGCAAGGTTCCCTCATCTTACACACACACACACACACACACAAAAGTGTACGTGTAGCTGCTTCTCCTGGCCAGCAAGCCCGGGCACGCGAGAGTCGCCCGACAACTTTTCTCTGCTTGGCAGGCAAAGGCAGCAGCGCGGCGATTCAGCGGCAGCAGAAGCAGCGTTTCCAAAGACGTCCAATGGCGATCCGAGCCCGGCCGGGCAATTGTCCAGTCCAATGAGAATCCGAGGAGCCGCTGTACTATCTGCCAATCGGGCCGCCTGTCACAGGAGCTGTGTCCCTGGAAGAGGAGGAGGAGGAGGAGGAGGAAGGGCGAGAGCCCGGCTCAGTCGCCCTGATTGCGGATTGGAGGCTCGTGGGAGCGCTCTGCCCGCGTCTGTTGCAGGCAGGAGCACGTTGGGGAAGCGGCGAGGCGAAGGCGGCTTGGCTTTTCAGCCTGGGAGGGGCGGTGGGTGGGTAGATGCCGCCGCCGCCGCCGCCGCCGCCGCTTGCTTCAGCCCGGGAGGCTGGCAGGTGAGCTGCGGCAACAAATCGCCGTGAGCCGCGGCGATCGCTCCTCTGGAAACCGAGCGAAGGCTTTGCGGAGCGGGAGCGCCTTGCTGGGGAAGGTAGGTCCTTTGTTCGGGCGGCTTTAACCCAGCGCCGATATCGTTCTGGATCCGGGAAGAACTCGGTCTGCCTCCCCTTCTTCCCTTCCGAGGCTGGTGAAGGGATGCGGAATCCCGGGTTCTTGCCCGGACGCGGCGTCCTTCTGCTGGAGGGGTGGTCGCTCCCGGCTCGGCGTGGAGGAAGGAGCTTGGGGGGGGGGGACCCGAAACCAGAGGAAAGGGGGACTGAGAGATGGGAAACGCGAGAAGGGAAAAAGTTGCCTCTGAGCGAGTGCAGAGCGCCCGAGCGGGACGTTCACCCTTTCTAGCCGAGGGTGAGATTTTGGAGCAAGAGGGCGAGGCGGGAAGGGTTTTCCGCAGCCGGCGGCTCATTCCCAATGCGGGGAAAGTCCGGATCAGCTCAGCCTCTGCTGCTTCCCACGTGCAGGTGTGTATCCTGGGCGGCTGTGCACACGCGTTCACTGGGCTGCTGCATCTTGACGTGTAACTTCAGCTCCCGACTGTTTCGAAGCCCATCTCTTCCAATATCCCGCTTAAGTGTATTGAGAGGCGTTGTAAAAAAAAAAAAGAACAACCAACCTTCCTTCACTGGAGCAATAGATTCTAAAGGGGCAAATTCCAGTTCACATCTTGTTCCTTTGAAATCAGAGTTTCTCCACCTTCTCCCCCCCCCACCTTTTCCGATCTTGTTTTTCTTCTGTGCCCCTCCATCCAGATCCCAGTGACAAATGCAGCCATGGGACAGTAACTGGTGCATTTTGGGACATCTCCCAGGCACTTTGCTTTTCTGGGACCTCCTCAGATATGCCCTGGCCCACCTGCTAATTTTTCATCTGTGGCGCCTCTGAAATATCCTAGGGCTCCAGGGGCCCCATATGATCCCAGTGGCATAAACCACTCTTTTAAATTGTATTTAATGTGCAGTGCGATTGGGTGCATTTTTGTCACAGGCCTCTCCACTTCTTTTATCTAGCCTGCCTTGCAGGGTTCTTGTAAGCTTCCTTGATGCCGGCAGGAATGAGAAAGGCATATAAGCAATAGTAACTAAAATCCAGATCTGCATTTAAACCTTCTCAACACTTATAAATTACCCCATTTTTTTCATATTCTGCACCAAGATGCTCCCTTAAAAGGGCTGTTCGAGTTCTTTTTTTTTCCTTTCCATTTGAGACAGAGGAGGGGAAAAGATTACCATGGCATGATGACCTTTCTGGGCAGATAACTTTCATGGTTTACTGATGAGCTGTCTTCCACCAATGTTTAATCTTTAATTAAACATGATCCTTTCAGACCCTTTGATTCTTGCCCTCTCACCAGCATGTTTTATCCAGAGAGAGAGAGAGATAATTCATTAGCTTTCCCATCTGAACACTGACTAGAATAACTAATATGCTAAAATACTTTTACGGCTGGACTTAAAGTATTAATAAAGCATCTGCTGTTTTGCATTGCATCAGTTGCGTAAAGCTTTACCCCAATTAGCAGTCATGCAGGAGAACCAAAAGAAAATAGATGAAAGTAAAGGAACAGGGACCTCTGTCGATCCAGATGTGGTGGGTAGGACAATATGCAGGTCTGGATGGAGATATGGAACTGAATCAGAAGATGGTGCACCCTTGAAAAACCAGATGTGTATTTTGAGATTCTCCTATACACAGAGATGCTGTTACCTGTAGAAGGGCAGCTAGAAAAACCGGAATCCTTTGCCACTGGCATTCCCTTTGGGAGAAACCTGCTTGAATTGGGTTTTTTGCAATGGTTATGGTCAGATTAAACCACTTTTGGTGTATTCCATCCAACGCTGCCTTTTAAGATGGTGCAGATGCTTCAGCAAACGAAGAATGCATCCCATCTGGTTGCTGGCTAGAGATTGGCAATGGGCCAGCATCAACTAGTAGCCTGAACATCTAGAGGTCCTGCTAACCGGCCTCAAAAAGCCAAAATATTTTGCAGCCAATTTATTTAAAGGATATCTTGTCACTACAAACCAGTGCAGGCCTAGGGGTGTTCCATAGAGACCTTCTAGTGATCTAGTATATCACTCAGATACAAGGGATATGGCCTTTTCTATGGTAGTTGCATCTTTATTGAATGCTGGAAATATGCCTGGCTTCCTTTCTGACTATTTCCACCTGGATTTTAGAGAGCCAGATAATCTTTCCTGCTTTTAACTGCACAATGATATTAGATGGTTTTTAATGGTCACATGTATTTATGTATTTATCAAATTGTTCTGAGGGCCTTGGTTTTAAAAAGTGGCATAAAATATTTATGTCCTGTAAGTAAAAATGTAAACATGGAGCCCAAAAGAAATGTGAGACCATCTATAAAAGGTTCAAATGCAAAAAGACTGTCAATCGCTTGTAGGAGCTGAGATTTCTATTTTTTAAGAAAACATCATTATGCTATTTAAACATTACAATGGAACAAGGAATAGGAGCCTTGGTTAAATCATCCCAAAAATCACATTTGTTAGTTAATGCCTGTGTGATGTCCTTGTGCAGTCAATTTCCTGAGTGATGTACTTTATCTGTTCGTACTTTACTCTATAGCATAATCTATATAAGAATGATTTATTAAACAAATCATAATTGACTGGATTTGCCCAACATGCTAACTATAAAGCATGGTTATATACTGCATCAATGTATTGACATAACAGACTGACCAAAGTTATGGCTTGTTATGAAGGATCAATCAAGTCATAATCTTTTAGCTAAGCATACTTCAGATTGTTTTTATAAGGAGAAAATGAGAAGGACAAGTTAACAAAATAGTTAAACTGATCATAGTTTTTTTCCCTTTACTCATCCTGCCTGGCTGAGGCTAACACCTCATGAAAGTAACAGAGTCAACTCAAATTCACAAAAGTTTGCAATCAAACATAGATCAGTCTTATTCTGCCTTATTCAGGAGAGACTCTTGTGTAAGATAGAAGTCCAAATCCATTGATTTTTAAGATCTCAATTCTTCTTCCCATGTTGTAGACTAAGTGATTTCCATAAAACTCAATCCCTTCTTAAGACTTGGAAGATCAGAGCATAGATAGTTCATTTAAGCTTGCCATAGCTTTACTTTTTTGTTGTTGTAACTCCATTTTTTTTCTCCACTGGTTTTTATTCACAGAAGCCAGTAGCCCAATAAATAGGATAAAACCCCCAATACAGAAATAACTCTTGATTATGAGTTATTAATTAATTCAATTACCTTGAATGCAAATTTTGGTTTATCTGATCATTCCAAATATTGAATCATATTTTGCATGGTGAGACCATTCTGTGTTGATTTGTTTGTTTGTTTGTTTAATTATGTGCCATCAAGTTGTTTTCAAATCCTAACTACATATTTTCCATGATAATCTTTCCCTAACACATTACATGTTGAGCCTAGACCAATTCCTGCTTTCCCAAATATCCTAAATTACTATCACCAGTGTCCTATCTTGTCCTCAGTGTCACTATCTTTTTACTTCCATCTAGACTTTCATTTAAGCTGCTCAGAGTCACCTTGAACCATGAGATGGGGGCACATAAATTTGATAATAATACTGCAATAACTGACAATTCCATTTGCTAAAGTTGTAAGCATGTATGTAGAAACAGAATGCTCATTTTAAAAATAGAATAGAATAGTACAGGGGTCCTCAAACTTGGCAACTTTAAGACTTGTGGACTTCAATTCCCAGAATTCCTCAGCCAGCATAGTTTAGCTGGCTGAGGAATTCTGGGAGTTGAAGTCCACAAGTCTTAAAGTTGCCAAGTTTGGAGACCTCTGCAATAGAATAACAGAGTTGGAAGGGACCTTGGAGGTCTTCTAGTCTTGTCCAACCTCCTGCTTAGGCAGGAAACCCTATACCATTTCAGACAAACGGTTATCCAGTCTCTTCTAAAAACTTCCAGTGTTGGAGCATCCACAACTTCTGGAGGCAAGTTGTTCCACTGATTAATTGTTCTGTCAGGAAATTTCTCCTTGGTTCTAAGTTGCTTTTCTCCTTGATTTGTTTCCACCCATTGCTTCTTGTCCTGCCTTCAGCTGCTTTGGAGAATAGCTTAACTCCCTTTTCTTTGTGGCAGCCCCTGAGATATTGGAACAGTGCTAACAGATCATTTACAACATACCTATTTCTGACTTCCTGTTGTCCAGAAAACCAAATATTATCCCTTTCACTTTTGAACACTGCAGTTTCACATCACTCTAGTGCAGTGTTTTTCAACTTTGGCAACCTAAAGTTGCAGTCCACGTGTCTTAAACTTGTTGAAAAACACTGCCCGTGTGTGTGTGTGTGTGTGTGTGTGTGTGTGTGTGTGTGAAACTGTGTGTGCACATCTTTAAAAGTAATCATCTGGCAGATCTAGTAATGAGTTGACACTTCCTCCCCTATGGCCCAGAAAAATGGTTAATCCACTATTAACTTCTTTTCCCCTCTGGTGATGTTCTTGGGAGTGAAATCATTTATTTACGAATGGCAGAAAACTCCCCAAATTTCTGTCGGCTTCTTTTTGATTTTGCTAATTGATGTTTTATGTTGTGATTTGTCTTCCAATTGTGTTGACACAAGTTCCTGCAGTGATGGCTCTCAGCCCAATAAATGGGAGAGGGTATTATATTTCCAGTAATTTTTTTTTGTCTTGTGTCTCTGATTTTACGTTTTGGTATGAATCAGTGCGATGGGTGGGCCCCTAAACTCTGCTGATTCAAACCCACAAGGATGATTCATGCAAGAGGTAAATCTCTATAGTAGGTACTATAATAGTTACTAGTAGGAGCATGCAACTTTTTCAGGGTTAAGATACGGTCTTAAGCTAGAATAGATTTTACTGTATTTCATTGAAATGTAAATTGCATGAATGGTAAAATTAAATATTAATATAATCATTTCCAAGATACTGAATAATTTCCTATACTGGAAGAACTTTAACAGCCATGCCGAGGCTATGGAAATTAGAAGAAACCTCAGTTATACATCTTTATTGTGGATTATGTCTGCAAAATCTGTTTCC